GAGGGCCGCCTCCTCTCCGCCGGGAGCCTCCGAGCCGGGGCCCGGGGCTGCCGCGGCGCATCCGACCGCACCGGCTCTGCCGGCCTCAACAAAGGGCGGCGGGGGCGCTGGCCCGGGCGGGGGCGCGGATGGCGGCTGGGGTTGCGCGCGCGCGGCGGGCGCTCGAGGGCTGCAGCGCCGCGGAGACAATGCGGCGCGTCCGGGACGGCTCCCGCGGCCGCCTCCGCCGGGGGCGGGGCTAGGGCGAGGCGGGGCCCGCGCGCGGGGCGGGGCGGGACGGGACGGGCGCGGGGCGGGGCCGTGGGCCCGGGCCGCGCGCTTCCTTTGTGCACCCGAGCCCCGCCCGCGCCCTCCGGAAGGCGCGGCCGGCCGGGACCGCGGGGACGGCGGGGTCCGCCGGGCAACGCGGCCGGGCGAGCGGGTCTGGGTCTCGGGAGGCGAGTGGCGCGCCCTAGCACGGTTGCCCCTGTCCTCCGCAGAAGTGCCCCGGGGCGGAGTGACCTGTGACTCCCGCCTTGAGGGTTCACTGTCTGTGGGGCCTGGAAGGCAAGCATCGTAATGACGACCACTAGTAATTGAGGGCTGAGTACGTGTCAGGGCCTAAGTGAACGCGCCCTCTGTCCTGTGCTCACAATAACCCTCCAAGTGGTCATTATCCTCCCCACTGGGAACCGAAGATCAGAGAGGGGAAGTAATGACTAAAGTGACCCAGTCATACCTCCATAAAGGGCGTAATCCCTACCCGTTAGGTTTAATGTGAGGGTTAACTGATTTACAAATTGCTTGCAGCGCCTGACGCACAGTGGGAGCCCAATAAATGTTAGTTTTCTTCCCAGAACACACTAGTTAAACCTGAACAGTCTAGAGAAACACCCTCATTCAGAAAACATGCTAAGAGCTGTGGGGTTCCAACGATGTACAACATGACACAATTCTCACCCCAGGAGCTGGGGATAAACCACAGCGAATTTCTGTCTATTCCCAATATTCCCCCATCTTGCCTTTCTTGGTATTCCTATTCATTCTCTATCATTCTGTCTCTTTTAACCCTCTGGCCTCATACCTTTTGTTTGTTTCCACGTTTTATATTTATTTTGCATTCTCTAAATTTTACTTCTCTCCATTTCCCATCATTCCTTTTCTTTCTACTTTACTATTTTTCAAGTCCCTTTTTTATTAGTATTCACATTTCCTTACCCCCGTGTCTCTGCATTTCTTACATATTATATTTTGCTTTACAAACTGAGGTAATGAGGGATTGAATACTCAGCTTCTCTCTMTTCCCCAAACTTACCCATACTTTCTGACCCCACCCCTTTAACTTCCACTGGTCCTTCTGGGAATGCTCTTTCCTCAACTTTCTATATTCCAGACTCAAGAAATGCAGTGACCAACTTTTTCTGTAAGGGAAGAGAGAGGAGATATCTTGGAATTTACAGGCCACATGGTCTCTGCCCAGCTACTCCACCCTGTCATTGGGGTATGAGAGAYGCCACAGAACTTCGTCATSAAYACTGAAATTTGAATCTCATAGAGTTTTCCTGTATCACAAAATAATATTCTCTTGTTTGTTAAAATCATTATTAGCTTGCAAACTGTTAATACTAGGGTTATGATGGATGTGGCCCTGGGGCTGTAGTTGCCGATCCCTGATCTAGCACAATGCTACTTCCTCCCTGGAATTCATCCTTGTAATCTCTACCTGGCAGTAACATTTCCTTCCTTGCCACTTGTAAAGCACTTACCTAAGATTCTTCTATGGCATTTAACATGGCACCTTAGCTTTTACTGTAATTTTCTTCCTGTGTACTTTACATCTTTCCCTGCAGATGTTAAACTCCTTGAAGGTTGGGACAGTCTGTGTATTGCCTCCCATCCAACAGTGCAGGCATTCACATATACACGAATGCATGGATATTTAAGGCAGGCTTGCTTGGCAATTGTTTCCACTATGCAAGGCTTACTTCTTTCATAAGATAAGACCTCAAGAACAGGATGCTTTTTATGGGTTGATCATAACCACTGAGCCACATCCCCAGTACCACCCCCGCTTTTGTATTTTATTTAGATACAGGGTCTCACTGAGTTGCTTAGCACCTTGCTTTTGCTGAGACTGGCTTTGAACTTGTGATCTTCCTGCCTCAGTTTCCTGAGCCGCTGGGATTACAGGCATACGCCACTGTGCTCTGCAGAAAGATAATTTTGAGAGCTTTGTGGACAAGATGAAAGAAGGTAGGCAAATGTCAGTTCACTTAGGGGATGATGGATAACAAGTCCTTGAACAAAGAATGTTGATTAGCAACAGCCTGGAGACAGGTATGTAGCTCAGGTAGGTCCTATACAACATTCCTATCAGCAAATTGGTAAAAGACTAGGAAATCATACTGTATAATTACAGGTGGCAAAGCTAAGTAGAAAAGATAGCATAATGAATAAAAAGGGTTCATATATAAAAAATTCCTTTCCCACATTTTATTCTTTCTGTACCTTGGTTTTCTCACTTTTAAAATAGGGATAAATGATAGTTCCTATTCAGAGGGTTATTGTCAGGATYAAATGAGGAAATGTATGTAAAGCCTTTTAGGAAGAGTTTAATAAATGTTAGGTATTAACTATCACTAATTATTGTTAGGATGGGACTATGGGCTAAATTCACAAGGTAACATTTAGAAGATAAAATTAAACATATTTTGGTTCAAAATATAAATTTTGAAAGTTTGAGACTGAGGAGAGACCAGGCAAGATAGCAAATTCATGGRGAAAACACCAAAACAAAACAAAAGCCCTCCGAAATAAAACCAAAACTAAATCCAACCCTCTGAAATTCAGTTGACATAGTACTCTGTGAACCCACAGCACCATTCCCATGAGTGGGAGGAGTTAATATGGGGCCACAGTACCTCGATAAAGGAAGGTGAGGGAATTACTACACTAGGAGCCAGGGCCAGATTGATGCCCTTTCACAGTTGTGTGATCTGTAGTTCCTTTAGGCTTTTGTTTTTCCCCTGTGAATCATGGGGATAATAATAATTATCTCAGGGGTATCATGAGTGAGTAAAGGACAGAAGAGTATCCAATACATAGTAGGTRCTCAGCAAATTTTAGTTCTTTCCTACCTTTTCATGTGGATCTAGGAAATAGTCCTGTCTCTTAAAAGGCTTATAAAGATTAGTGACTTTTTAATTTGGAAGTACTGTGTTTAATTTTGGATGTCACACTTTAGAAAAACAAGTAAAAGAACATGGATTGATAAGCAAGTCTAGAATGGTAGGAATGGAGGCTTTGACAAGTCACAGAGAAAAATGAAAAAAGTCTCAGGTCTTTAGCCTGGAGGGGTTTGTCATTGTCTTCTCCTTCTCCTTCTCCTTCTCCTTCTCCTTCTCTTCTCTTCTCTCTCCTTCTCCTTCTCCTTCTTCTTTTTTTTTTTTTTTAGAACTGAGGATAGAACCCAGTGGTGCTTTGCCCCTGAGCTCCATCCAGCCCTCCCTTCTTTTTAAAATTTTGAGACAGCATCTCCCTAAGTTACTGAGAGCCTCTCTGTTGCTGAGGCTGGCCTTGAACTTGTGATCCTCCTGCCTCAGCCTCTCGGATTGCTGCAATTACATGCTACCATGCATGGCCTCAATTTCTCTCTCTCTCTCTCTCTCTCTCTCTCTCTCTCTGTTAGAGGAAGATGGTAGAGACATAACAACTGTCAATGATACTATGAGATGGATTCTTGTTAAAATTTTTAAGACAGAATCATCATCAGTGACGGTCAAGTTCCAGAAGGGCAGGTTTTGGCTTACTTGAAAAGCAACTTTCTGATAATCAGAGCAATTCCAAAAAGAAATGGGCCTGTACTGTCATGTGTAACTAATTAAAACAAAAAATAAAAATTAAAAATAAATAAATAAATGAAAAAAACGGGCCTGCTTTTCTTTTCCTTTTTTTTTTTTGGTGTGTGTGTGTGTGAGTGTGGTTTTTCAGTGCTGGGGATTGAACCCAGGGGACCCAAGGACCCATGCATGCCAGGCAAGTGCTGGACCAGTGAGCCAAACCCCCAGGCTGCTTTCCAGAATGATGATCCTCTTACCATTGCAAGTGTACAATGAGAACAGATGATCTTCTTCCCATATTTAATTTTTCTAGTATCTTTTCTCCATATTCTTTTGCTTTCTATTTCCTTGATCTCATCCCCTATTCCTTTTAGGTCCTTATAAACKTTTAGCCCTACCTTGTTCCAAAGTATTTTTCTCCTCCCTTCTCCTTTTTCAATTTCTAGATTCTTTTTCTCTGGTTTCTCCCATCCCTACTCCTAGCACACACTTAGCATCGTGACTGAACTGCCTCCCTGAGCTGCAGGTGGCCCATGGCTCAAAATGTCACTGAGATGTGGGCCAAGATTGCTGTGTGAACTGGCAGAGAGGGAAAGGAAGCAAATGGATCTCCATAGAGGGCGGAGGTCCTGCTGAGACTCCCCCATCAGGGAGGAGGGATCCAGCCTCCTAAATCCTGGGCGGTAACTCTCAGACAGGTGGGGACTCCAGGGCTGAGCACAATTCCCTCAAAGGTGCTTTCTGAATCCCTTCTAGATCCCCTTATCTTTGAGATATGGCAACCATCTTGCCATATTTCCAATTTCAAAAAATTGAAAATTTCTCATACTAAATGAAGCAGACAATCAACAACGGGATGCCTTACCTCAACTCTCAACTTGGTGCGTCTATCTGCACATACATCTGACACCAGTGACAATGAAGTCTGCAGAGTCTGGCTCTAGAACTTTCAACTCTCCTTTTCTTTCTCTACTAATTTCCTTCTATATCTCCTGGGTCCTGTGTCTGCATCCCTGATGCAGCTTCTCATTTCCCTCTTGTTTCTAACTGCCTAGCTTTCTCCTTGCCTCGTTGGGTTTACAGTTTACCCTCACGTTCCAGATGCTCAGGTGAAATGTGCCAGGGGATGGCTAGGAAGACCGACTTTCTCCCCTCCTCCAAGGGCCCCACTATGCTTCATACCGTGAGCAGGAGACTGCTGGATGTTAGGGCTCTTGGCTACAGGCAGGCCACTAGGCATGGCAGTGACAATGGCTTGCTGGTGTGGTGATGGACCTGACCGAGTCTCAGGCACACTCTTCTCCCCAGGTCCCACTTCCTTCCAGTCATCAGGGGAGCACTGCTGGGGCTGTTAGGGGCAGGACAAAGAGATTGGTCTTCTCATAAACTGCCTCTGCATTCTCACACACTACCCCGGTTTCTGTGGAGCTTGGAGCAGCAGGCAGGGCTTTAGGATTCAGTCATCTTCCTTGGAACACCCAGAGATGACTTTAACACTCGGCCTACCCAGAAACACATCCAAATGGGGCTGTGGGATTGCCTGAGCTGCGGCCTCCCCAGTCGCTCCACACCCTAGGATCAGCTTACTCACCACTGGTGAAGCAGGCTGTAGTTGTAAGATGACAGCTGAGGTGTGTTGGAACCTGCGATGAGGGGTGTGGGACATGCCCTCGGGATGTCCATTCTGAGGCCCAGGGTCTGGCGTGGGAGGGTGACACTGCTGACTGATGCTGGGCTTGTGCAGATTGGCCGTGGGACACTGGAGTGGCAGGGTGGGTGTAACTGGACCCAGGGGCATGGTGTGGGCTTCTGAGCCAGGCTGCAGGGCCAGGCTTGGAGGGACTGAGGTGAGCTGGGGTTGGGACTGGGCTTGGGGTGCAGGTCGTGGCGGCTGGGTCTGCTGCGGCTGCGGCTGCTGTTGGATCACAAACTGGGGCTGCAGGTGCTTTGATGACGGCTGCGAGAGGAACTGATGTGGCTGTAGTTGCGCATAAGCTGAAGGGGAAACACCAGGTTAGAGGCACAGCTGAAGCTCATCTGCCGTGGCCCTCGACGCACCCCTCCCGCACCCACAAATAAAGGGCTTCCCCAATGCCACGTACCCTTTCATGTTTCACCTAGAGCCTGGCCTCAGGAATGCCAGAGTCTAACACATACTCCCTTCTTGCTTTTCTCTTATGTCAAACACTGGGCTCTATGGGCTGCCTGTCAAAGCCTGACTCAAAATTCATGCCCCTTGAGAAGGCTTCCTTGACACATTCCAGAGAAATACTGGATTCTAAGTGTTTCCTCTTCTTCTCTCTTCCAAGCCCAGCACTTGCTGTTCTCTATGCCTACAATATCTGCAACCTCCTCGCCATCCACACCCAGCTCTGCGTGGTTCATCCTTATCCATCCTTTTGGCTCTGCCCAGGTTGAGCTTCCTAGAAGAAGAGTCAGTGGACACAGTAGTCCTCCAACACTGGCACTGGGCAGACCAGAGCTGAACTCTTGGTTCCTTTTTTTTTTTTTTAAACAAACCATGGGAACTAACTAGTTACTGCTACCTAACCTCTCCAAGACTCACCATCCTAATCCAAAAATTGGAAATAGTTTCTGCCCAGAAAATCACTGTAAAGATGAAAGGAGGGGAAAACCTAAAAATAAAATGTAAGCAAATAACATAATGTGTATAGCAGTGCCTGGCACACAGCCATGATCAATCATTTCTAGATACAATTTTAAATATTATTTCCATCTTAGTTTAGGTTCTCAAAGCATCCCTGGTTTACCTCTGTCATAATAATATTATTCTTGGTGGGTGATATTGCTACTTATCTGTCTTCCTTTTAAGTCATGAATCCCCAGTGGTCTGAAACTACAGTGTATCTCTTTCTCCTGTACCTAACATAGTGCTGGACAGCGATAGTTTTATTTACAAGAAGATAAAACATGTCTTGATCTGGAATTTCTTTCTTTCTCTCTTTTCTTTTCCTTTCCTACCTTCCTTCCTGTACTGGGAATTGAACCCAGGGGCTCTTTACCAC